CGCTGCCTCTGGAGGTGCCGGGCATGGCCTCCGGGGCTCCTGGATCCTGCTCCCAGCTCTGTGGTAGGAGCTCCCAGACTGAGCACTGCTTGTCCTGGAGCGCGGCCTGAAACCTCAGGAGCCAGACTGGGTCAGACGTAGGCACCTGCTGCGTTCAGGGTCGGACTGGGTCTGACTTGGAAACCTATGGCGTCCAGGCTCGGACTGGGACTGGGTCTGACTAACCTGGAGTGGGGCCAGTGTGAGGCCTCAGGTGAATATATTTGGTGTGAGGGCTGAACAAGCAGGTTTACCTTATCAAAGAGAATCAAGTTCGAGTGGCCGCAGTGGAGAACGTTTAACCTAGATGAGCTTATCCACTTACAACGTGCCCAGCGTAAAAGGGGCCTCATCAGGCACTCTCCATAAAGGATAAAGGAAACATTATTTTTCTTCCTCTACAGTTTCAGGGGCCTGGGATGAGACCTTCTGGGACGCCCCCTCAGTCCAGAGCCTGCAGAAGGGACCCTGGGGAAACTGGCAGAAGCTGGCAAATGGGGAGAATTCTTACTGAATCAGCCCTCCCAGACCTTTATCTGTGAGGCCTGGTCCAGAGAGAAGTAGAATTTCATGTTGTCCTTTGTAAATTCCAACTCTAGTGAATTTGATTGTGGGGTACCCACTGGTTGTTGATTCTTCCTCTCCTGAGACAGCTATTGCCTTCTTTTTAATATGTATTTAAAGAATAAGGCTTTTTAATACCACTGTGTGTGCCTGTGTGTGTATGCATGTATATGTTGTATGTATATGTGCATGCTGCATGCATACACAGCGCACACACACACACACATTTCATCTATTATCTCCGCCATATCTACCTTCTCAGCAGTGATTTTAAAAATCTAAATACTGTCGCAATGTTAATTATATTATCTTGACAGAACTTGTTTTCCCAGTAATTGCTCTGTGAGAATTACATGCTAAATCAGCAAATTTCTAGAGTATTCAGTCAATCTGCTATTATGCAAGATTATGCCTTTTCTGTTAAATGGTTCCCAGAGGCTTACAAAATAGTTTAACTTTGTCCTACATGTGGATTAATTTCCTTTTTCTGGTTTTATTTACATATATTGTGAAATGATTACCATACTAGGTTCATCTAACATGCATCTTCTCATATAGAGACAAAAGAAAGAATAAAGGGGGAAAATTCTTGTGATAAGAACTCTTGGGATTTATTCCCTTAAACTTTGCTATACATCACACAGCAGCACTAGTTAGAGTCATCATGTTGTACATGACATCCCTAGCACTTATTTATCTTATTAGTGGATGCTTTTATCTTTTGACTACCTTCCTCCAGTTCCTCCTACCCTCAGCCCCTGCCTCTAGTAACCAGAAGTCTGATCTCTTTTTCTATGACTTTTTCTGTTTTTTTATTTCTCATTGTAAGAATTTTATTACAAAGGTCACTCCTAAAAGAATAACATGGCCGAAACCGGTTTGGCTCAGTGGATAGAGCGTTGGCCTTCGGATTGAAAGGTCCCAGGTTCGATTACGGTCAAGGGCATGTACCTGGGTTGCAGGCACATCCCCAGTAGGAGATGTGCAGGAGGCAGCTGATCGATGTTTCTCTCTCATTGATGTTTCTAACTCTCTGTCTCTCTCCCTTCCTCTCTGTAAAAAATCAATAAAAAATATTTTTTTTTTAAAAAAAGAATAACATGTCTTTAATAAATTTTGGTGTTTTTTAGAGTCCACACATAAGTGAAATCATACAGTATTTGTCTGACTTATTTCAGTTAGCATAATACCTTCAAGGTTCATCTATATTGTCCCCAAAATGATAGGATTTTCTTGTGTGTGTGTCTGCGCAGCAGAGCTGGGATTCTAAGGGAGGAAGTCTGGCCCCCAGTCATCCATCACCCGCCCAGAGGGAAAAACTATTATCTACCTGGAGAATCTAATGATGTCCCTGGGCCACACCCTCTCAGCACTGCAGGCTCTGTTCTGCATGCATCCCCTTCAGTCCCTCCTCTGGCTCCTCTGTTTTTACAGTTGGTTTCTTTCTAGCTCAGTTCTTTCAGGTGCACCCTTTAGTCTTTGGCAATGCTGGGCTCCCTGGGTCCATTCACATTTGAACCTGAAAGACACAAAGAAGCCAAGTTCTGAGAATGAATTATGGGCACTGAATGCAGGAAGTAAGTGTAGACATCTTGAGCTGGATTTTCCTGGTTGTCTAATGTCATCACAAGGGCCCTTACAAAAGGGAAGCAGGATAGTCAGAGTCAGCGAAGGAGATACGAGATGGAAGCAGAGGTCAGAGTGATCGGAGTCAAGGATTTCAGGCAGCCTTGAGCAGCTAGAAAAGGTAGGGAATAGATTCCCTCCGAGAGCGTCCAGAAGGAACATAGCCTCAATGACACCATGATTTTATTCCTCCAGAGCTGAGGCTTCTGACCTCCAGACTGTAAGGAATAAATTTGTATTGGTTAGTCACCAGGTTTATGGTAGTTTTTTACCACAGTGACAGGAAACTGGTACATCACAGCCTTCTCTGTTCTTCAGGACGGTGACTCCTTTCCAGTGTCCAGGGCAATTGTCCCATAGTACTCCTCACTGTGTCGGTTCCCTATTGATTAAAGTTAAACATAGGTGATGACATTTGCCTCCCACACATCACACCAAGAAGAAGATAAGGTCAAACTGTCCCACAACCGGTGATGCTAAATTTGGCCCTGGTTCAGGGTAGCTCTCTCATCTCCCCACTGCAAAGGCATATCCTTCTTCAGTATGAATAAATAAACCATAGGATATAACTTTAAGATCATATGATTATCCTGCTCCTAAACAGCCATGCAACAGTTTTGGTGGCATGACAGTTATGTAAAATGCATTCTGGAAGCCTGGTAATTTTGCAGTGTGCACATTTTGAGCCTCTTGCTAATGGCATTAGAAGGAACTTGATGCTAATCTAGTTGTTCAGGGGATAAAGTCAGCGCTTTTGCTTGAGCTACTTAAGAAATCTGGTTTCACTGAGAATTTCCAAACATCCTGCAAATCCACTTTTTCTAACATTTTCTGAAATGCAAGACTATGTGATCTGTTCATCCACAAATTGAGATACATGTACAGAGAAGGGATCGGGGTGCAGATCTTTGTGTGTGTGCCCTGTGGACATGTCCATCCCCCTCAGAGTCAGTCCAGTCGGGGAGAGACAATCCCACGCACCAGCTGTCTCCTGTACTGCACCGCAGAGAGGCAATGTAGCATATCTAGGGGTTCAGAGGAGGTTTCTGGAGGAGTGGGGAGTTGGTCAGGTGTATAATAAGTTCTGCGCAGTTGGTAAGACCATTTTACAAACTTGGTGATTGAGTTAGGGAGACATTAAACAATTGCCTGAGGTCACACTCAGCCAGTGAGCCAGGATTTGAATCCTAGGAGAAGAGTGATTATGTCTGTGGAGTATTAGGCCATCCTCATTTGTGTGCCACAGAGAGAATAATGAAGAAGACACTAAAGTTTCCTGGAGGCTCACCTACAGCAGGTGTGCAGTGTCTGTGGGGCAGGAGATTGGCATTAAAACCAAGGTTTTAAGCTTCCTGGGCCTCATCTGTGCACCTGGGGTGATAATAGCAACAATGGTGAGACCCAACATTTACTGTGGGCTTACTGTCTACATTTACTGCCACAATTTTCCTCATCTCTAAATCGGGAATATCAAGAATAGTAATGAGGATAATAAATAATAAGTACCATTTATTGAGCATTTATTGCATAAAAACCTCTGTTCTAAGAGAAACACACACTTTGGAGTTCCTCATCTGTGGCCTGGGAATAATAACAACAGCAGTAATAATAAATGATAAGGACCATTTACTAAACACTTAATAGATTATAAACCCCTGTTCTAAGTGACTCACACAGCTCAGTTTCCCTCACTGAAGACTGGGAATAATGAATCATCATAAGTGATAGCCAGCATTTACTGAGTGTTTGCTGTGTGCCAGGTCCTGTACCCAGAACTCTATTCAGACTAGATAGACAAGGCCCAACTTGACTGGGTCACCAGCAAGCCTTCCATATCATCTCCCTCCCTCTTCACCTCATTGTGTTCCTCCTCGATGTTGGCCTCCAGATGCTCCCCAAACACACTAAGCTCAGTCCCCCTCACAGCCCCGGCATGCACCATTCCCCTGCCCATGCACATCTCCCCAGATACCCACAGGACCCACTCCACTTGCCCGCTCACCTTCCTGCTCAGACATCACTTTCGCAGCGAGACCTTCCCTGACCATGTCATGTAAAAGCCAGGACCCACAATAGTACTTACTGCTGCTGCAAAAGAGGCATCCAGCAAATGCTTGCTTAATCAGTACCTGCTTACAAAGTGGCAGCGGCCTGGCGCAAGGTGCCTTTTGGAATTGGGTATCCTCCCCTCTCCGCCCCTCTCCTACCCCCCGCAGCTTCCTGAGTAGCTGACATACAGCCCAGCTAAGTAAGTGAGGGCAGAGCCCCAATGAGACCTGAGGGAAAGCACCCCAGATGAGGGCCCTGCAGCATAGAGGCTCTAAGATGACAATGTGCTAGGACAAGGGAGGAAAGCTAGAACCTAACGTGTGAAGGGGAGCCCAGGTAGGCGGCAGGTCTCAGAGGCCCAAGAGGTCAGTCAGCAGGAGTCTGTGGGGAAGGCAGGGACTCTAGGATTTTACGCTGAAACACAGGAATCCGACACGACCTGATGTGGGTTTTTAACACGTTTCCTCTTGTTCGTGTTGGCAAAACAGACGGTTCAGGAATCGGAGATGCAGCGGTGGAGATGGGGCGGACTTGACACCCCCTTATTCACTGAGCTGCTCAGGAACCTTCCCAGTGTTGAGCTGGTGAGAGCACCCGCGGGGCCTGGGGGCGGAGTCCGGACGAGGCCCCGCCCATGGCGCGTGGAGCCCCGCCCCCGCGTCGGCCCCGCCCTCTCACACCCCCGCGACTCCTGGAGCACAGACTCAGGCCGGGAGGTGAAGGACGATCTGAATCATTGCCTTTATTTCTCGGCGGGCCTTGAAGCTAGGGATCGGTGGGTCCCAATGGCCTAGGGGGACCACAGGGCCAGCTCCACCAGCGGCTCCAGGTCCTCCTCGTGGCGGGCGCACAGGGACTCCGGGTCGGGCTGCCGGAGCGCAGAGTCAGCCTGTCAAGCCCCGTGGCTGCCTTTGCCCCGTCACCGTCAGCACCGGGGGTGCACTGCTCCCCACAGACCCTCCCTCCGAGGGACTCTGGGGACATCCCCGCCCACTCTGCCTCCCTCTGGCCGCCTCGCCTCCATCCCTGACTCCTGACCTCTTCTTTGTGGGCCCAGTCGCCCGAGGGGCTCTGGGTCTGGGTGGGGACTTGCTCCCCAGATTTCTCCAGCTCCACCTTCAGCCTGCAGAGAAGGGTCAGAGGAGAGAGAAAAGGAGGGAGAAGAGAGCTAGAGTGGAGGGGTCAGGAGGAAACCACTGAGACCCAGTGACCTGACGAGGCCCAGGCTGGCGCGCAGGGGCAGGAGCCGAGCCCAGAGCCAGTCCTTCTGGGAGGGGTGGTGCTGGGGGAGGCATTGGCCCATTCCCTTCCTCCCTGCCCCGTCCCCTGCCCAGGGCCTCCTTTCCCCTCTCACTCTTCGTTCACTTCCAGGGCGCCCTGGACCGTAGGCGAGGAGCGCAGCCTCTGCTCCACCTGCTCCAGCTTGGCCCTCGCTAAGTTCTCTGCAGAGGGTGAAGGGTGGGCATCACGGCGGAGCTGGAGGTCCCACGCACCGCCGCGCCCCTGTCCCCCAGCCCACGCGGGAGTCCCACCTTCAGTGAGCAGCTGCTCCTTGCTGCTCTGCAGCGCGCGGATCTCCCAGGCCAGCCGCCGCTCCAGCACCTGCTGGAGAGAAGGGGCCTGTCTTTGGTCTGTAGTCCTGGCCCCCTGCTCCTTCGCGCCTCTCTGTAAGTCCTTACTTGAATTAGGTCATTCATCCATTCAACTATTGATTAACTCAAAGTGCAGTTTTCTTGCGCGGCTCCCGATGTCCTTGTGTATCTTCTTAAACCTTAGGTCCTGCCACT